TCAAGCAGCTGCAGCGCATTAGTTCCAATAGTTTACCCGGCAGCAGCTTTGTAGCTCTGACCAAAGCTGTGCTAACGTAGTCAGCCACTTCCTTCCATGTTCATTTGCCATGATAGCTAGCAAGTGATCTTTGGCAAGGGGACTGTGAGAGGGAGGTGTGGTAATGTTTAATAGGCTTCCGTGGTGCAGCAGTTAGCTTGATTGCTTTAATCGAGATCCGTGTCAGTCTCAGAAGAGAGACTGAGGCCGGCAGCCCATCAGGATAACCTGTATTGGAGTGGCAGCTCTGCACCTTTGTCCGCACTGGATTTGGCGAGAAGCACTGGGGCAAACGGGGAGCACCCCGGGCACCAGAGCTTGCTCCTGGGGCCGCCGCCGCCGCCGCCGCTGCCGGTTGAGTAAGTCGACCAAAGGAGATGGCTCAGCAGACCTCAAGCCCGGATACCTTGACTGTCCCTGAAGTGGATAATCCGCATTGTGCAAATCCGTGGCTGAATGAGGATCTCGTGAAGTCCCTCAGGGAAAACCTGTTGCAGCACGAAAAGTCCAAGGTGTCCAGGAAGTCAGTGTCTCCCAAGCTGTCTCCAGTGATTTCTCCTAGGAATTCTCCGAGGCTCTTACGCAGGATGCTTCTGAATAGCAACATACCCAAACAACGGCGTTTCACCGTGGCACATACATGGTAAGAGTTGCATAAATTACGAGGAAGTGCTTCTGGACAAGGCGCTCATGGTTCTCCCGCTCTTTGTCCTTTTCGTGTGTGTGTGTGAGTGCGTGTGTGTGTGTTCTGCATTATCATCATTCCTAATTTGTGAGTTATGGAGGGGCAGAGTCTATTTGAATCAATTAAAAAAAAAATCACACAGGTGTCCAAACAAGGACAGGGATCCCTAGGACGGTTACTCTGGATGGTTAAGGGTGGGTATTTCCTTGAAAGTTCATTTCCTTTTGCAAGTTCCTACAAGAAAATTGGATCCCAGAAGCCAAATAAGAATGCAGTTTCTCTTACGCAGGCAGTGACTTTTCTTTGATTTCTTCCATACATTTCATAAGCCTTGCCCTCCAGCTTCCTGAGCAAAAAAAAGAACCAGGAAAGGGAAAAAGAAACGCGGGCGCGCGCGCTCACAGACACACACACACACACACACACACACACACACACACACTCTATTTGAAATCTGTACTATTTTCTCCCTGAGTGACCAACTAGAGGTGGATTGGTGGGGGTGGGGGGATGTTTGTGTGTGTGTATATGTCTCTGTGTGTGTGTGTGTTTGTGTGTGCACACATGTTATCAGGGATTCAGTGTAAAATCACACAGTAGCTGGAGTAGATTTTTAGCATAGCAGAGCCTCAGTGAGGTGAGCATGGACATATTCAAATGAATAAGACTTTCTTTTGGGAACTGGGATTGTGGAAAAATGAAGAGACCTTGGCAAATGGGAAGGTCAAAGTTTATCCTCTGGAATTAGCAAAAAGGCAAGGAGAACCAGATAAATGAACCATCTGTGATTAAGGTATTACATTTAGGAAGTAAGGTAATTAGCAGGAATGGGCCCCAAAAGCAAATATTATATCTTTTCAACATTTCCTATCAGAACATGACTTCAAAACAAAAAATGGAATAAATCTGACTTAATCTTTGTATAGATATTAGGGACCTTTCAGAAATGCACACACTTTGTGTATGTATGCTGTGTATGTATATGGATATGTAAGCATTCTTTGAAAATGGAAAACCTTGACTATTTCATCGAGATTTCAAACTGGTCTTTTGCATTTGGCCTTGTTTTGTCTTTTGGTTCTGTTTTTTACACTTTTCACCATTTGTAAATTTAGAAGAAGAAGAAAAACAACAACTAAAATCTTGTTATTAATGGCAGAGGGTTTACATAGGAAGAGGATCTCTGTTTGAAGAAAGGGAGTTTTTTGCTTTGATCACTAAAGAGGTCTAGTGTTGCATTACACCTAGTACTGAATTACACAGATATACATTGGTATGTGTAATGCTTATAAAATACCTTCAGTTATATGGAATATAGAATTTATGTCAAATAACCAAAAGATGATCAACACCCTTCCAAAAAAAAAGACTTAATATCCAGCCCACTGACAAGAAAATTGACTCAATTATTTTATTCATTTTCCTATAATAAAATGAAACTATTTGATTGTAAGGGATAAATCGGCAAACACACCTCTAAGGTATAGCAAGAAATAGATTTTTAAAAACAAATCCAGAGTAGTGATGTCATCATACAAGGCCATACATATCAGAAAGATCAGAAGAAGAATAGTATGATGCTATCGAAGAAGTAGACATAATGAGAGTGCCACTTTTGAACTGTAGAGCCTTGGGGAATGGATTCTCTTTATCAATAAAATCCACAGTATGTGGAATATTGTAAATGGGAAACCACTACAGTATCATGGAAAAAGCACTGTTCAGACACAAAAGACATGAGTTGGCATCCAAGCTCTGCTATGCGACCCTGGTTGAATCATTTGACCTCTCTGAACCTCAGTTTCCTCATTTGTAAAATAAGTGGGTTAGACTAGATGACCTCCAAGATCCTTTCTAGCTTTAAATTCTGTGATCCTCCATTCATTTTGAGGGTAATTAAAAAAGATTTCAGTTGATTAATTTTTTTTTCTTCCAAGAGGAAAGGGAAAATAAGGCTGGTTCTTCTCTGTGTAAGATACACTTTAGCAGATAAATTTATCAGGAGCAAGTGTTTATGGAAAAGAAGAGATTTATGTTAGGGGAAAATAGTAGAGGGATGGAGCGGAATTGAAAACCAGTGGTTATATAGCAGGGAGACCAGATTGAATTGAAATGGAAATCTACTAGATTTTTAAACATCCTATATCTGGTATCACTCAGATGCTTCAATGAATCCTTTTTTTTTTTTTAAAGTTTTAACTAAAGGTGAGTAGGTGACCTTAGTTCATTTGGTACTTAGTTTTGGTTTGAATTAAGCAACCTAGAGTTCACTATAAGGTTATTTGAACTATCTAGACCCCTTGAGATGTGAGTTGGGCAGGAAATCTCATGAAAACAGTCTTTCTCTTGAAATTTCTGGCACTTCCTTTTCTGGTCTGGTTTGGAAAACTTCCAAGAACAGTGTTTCTACCAATATTTCATTGAGGTGCCTCTGGTCCCAGGCCAGAGAAGGAGAAAGATGGTAAAAGAAATGGGAATGGGGATGGGGGAATAGGAAGTGGACGGGGAGAGAGAAGAAAATATTGACATCTCATAGTGGCACCTCAGGAGGAGTTCATTTCCCCAAGACATAAACATACCCAGCAAGAGAAAGTAAAGTGTCTTATATTTCCACCTGAGTTCATTGAATACCAAGATTTTAACATTCTCCACAGGGATCTTTGGATTGAAGGTCCTTCCGTACTTTTTTCTTTTTGCTATTCATGTTTCTGTGTGAAATATTATTCAGAAAAATGTTGATTTCTTTAAATTTCTACTTTCATATAGTTTTTGTTGTTTTTTTTTTGGTAAAGCTTCTTTCTCATTGTTCTCCCACATAAATTCTCCACTCTAGTCAAGTTGTTTATATATCTTTGAGTAAATCCACTGTGTACTTTCCTGCTTTGGGATCTTTGCCTATTGCACGCTCTCCATGAGAATGTCCTCCCTCAGCAATGCTCTTTGCTAGTTAAAATCTGACAACTGGGATCATCAGACTATAGTTTAAAGCTGGAAAAGGAACTTATGGTCACCTCATACAATACCTCATTTTCTAACTGGGGAAACTGAGCCCCAGAAAGGTGAAGATACTTGTTAAGGTCACAAAGGCAGTAACTGGCAAAAGCAGGATTCAAATCTGATTGTTATGACCCAAAATCCTTTCCTTTTCCCACTGCACCACATGATCAAACAGTGTCCTTCAAGCCTTAGCTCATCTGCCAATTCTTTTGTTACCACTCAACTACAAGTAATCTCTCTCCTTTCTTAACTCTTTGCATTCACCATGGACTGAATTGTCTTGTTTTTCACTGCCATGTTTCATCTTCCTGTTAGGATTGAAGTAGAGAAGACAAGGTCTAAACTGTACACATCTTCATATCCCCTGCAGTGCATAGCACAGTATGTTATGTAAAGCAGTTGATCAAAAAATATTTATCGCATAAATGAATGAATAACTGAAGTGATCTTATTCTAGGGTTATCTCTAAGGTGGAGTGGGAATAAGGGAGGCGTGCATGTCAAAGGGTTCACTTTTTCTCCCACCTCTTTCTATGGAAGCATTGAAAATCAGATTGAAATGAGTGCCCAGGTCAAGTGTTCAGGACTTTTCACAAATGTCTTTTTAATCTATGCTGTATCTGAAGAGCAGAACAATAGAACACCATTCAGGGCACCACATAGCAATCCTGAACAATGACTAGAATTGTAATTTATGGGGTAATGTGTCCACTGTGCCAGGAACATAAATCTCTCCTGCTGCAGTGTTGGCATTGGGATTAGGGATTCTTCCCCTTCCATATGTCCAGCAGTGGAACCAGAACTTCTCTAGCTCTAGGCCACAGATGACATCTCCAGTAGCCTTCCAGATAGACATGGAAAGAGAAGAGGAGCAAAGGGGGAGAAAAGAGAAGGTATGGGAAGCCAGGGCTCAATAACAGTGTGAACTAATGGTTTTCTAGGGATCATCACATAGAAAATAGTGGTGACATAGGCAGAAAGAAAAGAGATTACCTCTTTGGCTTTTCCAAGATGTTGGTGAGGATTTTTTGTTTTGTTTTGTTTTTATTTGCTTTGGAAAAAAAACCACCTCTTTAATACAAGATAGTCTGATATAAGTGATAGTAGGAGGTCTTGTGGTCCACAAGGGGCTGAAATCGTCTACATTTTCAAGGAACATCCACTCTTTTTTCATGTTTAGGATATTTTTTTCACAGGTGGAAATTTTGATAGGCAAACAAACTGAAAAGATGAATAAAACTCTACATTATTGGAATATTTTGCTGCTTTATCCACTATAGGACAAACGCTGAGATTGCCAATTGCGATGAGCTATGGACCAATAGGAGTGCACCCTAGTCTGCTGCATGGACGTGCTGATAGTCACTGACCAATTGCTTCTCTAATAATTGCTACCAGATGGAAAACACACGTGAATCCTGCTGTGGTGATGAATGAATTGGATAGATATAAAAATTAGGACACTTTTAGTATATACTACCCTTTGGAAAGATTTCCCACCTGTTTTTTGACATTATCATCTGTAACTAAATGGCATTATGTATTAAGTAATTAAATATTGCTACTGGGACATCAAAAATATAAACTAATTTTCTAAAAATAATTGTATTCAGTACAATACATACAGAATTATGCATTTCACATTACCCAAACCAGTTTTATTTATGATATAAATTGATTCATAAGAAGACAAAATATTTAAGCAAATACATAGCAAAACAGAAACAAGAAACATAAATATGACATAATTATTCTTGTTAACTAAGTGTGACACTAAGTTGTTTCTACATTGCTTAATGACTGCAATTTTGGTACCCTAGGAGAAAGGTCATATCGCCCCACTTTAGTTATAGTTCTAAAACGTATTATATGTTACCAAAAACAGTTCATGATTCTTGCTTTGTACAACTTCTCTTTTGTCATTTCTTTATCCCTCTCTGATCATTCCCAGAATGCACTACAACATCTCAAGTTTTCAGTGGCATGATTCTCAAGTCATTTCCTCAGCTAGCATACACTGCTGTGGCTCCCAAGTTCCTCCCACTTATACTGATTCACTCCTGAATCTCAGATAAATCTCTTTCTCAGGACAACTCATACTGCAATTACCGAATATCTTTCTGTGTTTCTGCCCTCGTAGTTCCCAGGCCAACTTCCTGTGCCACCAGTTTATATGCATCAGCCCCAAGCCCCCTTCCTCATAATGATGCCCTGTCCTCTAGTGGAAGGACAGACACCAAATTCCGTTAGTAGTTGCTAAGATAATAGAGCTATCACTTTAGATCTGGAAGAGAGTTTCAAAGTCATCTGGTATTGACCCCCTCAGGAAACTGAGGGCCAAAAGTTTATGTGACTTATTCCAAGGTTAAATAACATGTTTAAGGTCAAGGCAAATAATAGTAGCAACAACAATAATAATAACTGACATTCATGTAGGACTTAAGGTTTGCAAAGCACTTTACAACTGTTTTCTCATTTGATTCTCTCAATAATCCTATGAGGTAGGTGGCACAGTGAATAGAGCACTGGGCCTGGAGTCTCCAAGTCCTGAGTTCAAATCCAGCCTCAGACATTTACTAACTGTGTGACCCTGGACAACTCACTCAAACTGTATCTACCTTGGTTTCCTCATCCATAAAGTGAGGATAATAGCACCTACCTCACAGGGCTGGTTTGAGTATCAAATGAGATAAAATCTGTGAAAGTGCTTAACTCATTTCGTGGAACATAATAAATGCTATATAAATGTTAGCTATCAGTATTATTATTATTTGAAATAGGGATAATAATAGCATCTATCTCGAAGGATTGTTGTGAGGATCAAATGAGATGATAACTGTAAAGCACTTAATACAAGGCTTGACATATAGGAAGTGCTATATAAATGTTAGCTATTATTATGCGATGCTATTATTGTCCCCATTTTACAGATGAGGAAACTGAGGCTAAAAAAGTTGTGACTTGGCCAGAATTATAGAACTGGTAAGTATCTGGGGAAGGATTCAAAGTGAGACATTCCTGATACCAAGTTCACTTTCCATCTGCTCTGCCATCTGGCTACCTAGGTAGATGAGGAAGTGGTTTTTCTGAGGGGGCTGATCTACAACTCCCTCTTCCCTTCTTCACTCTATAGCATTCTAAGCTCCTGGCCCCCGTTATTTCCATGCCCTCTCCCGTTCCTGTTCATTTGCTCTGCCACCTCACATGCCTGTCCCCTTTGGAATTTCCTCCCTTCCTTCGAGGTCCAATTCAGGTACCATCTGCTGCGCCCATTACCTTTTCCTACACATCATTTTGAAAGCAATTTTCTTTCTCCTTGACTTTTTCCTAGGTTTTGAATGGTCCCCTTCTTTGCACTTACTACATTCTTTCCTGTTATCATAGTTATTTGTTTTTCCCTTCTCCCGCTTAATTTGATTATAAACTCCTTAAGAATCTAGATTTGTCAAATCTATCTTTGTTTTGCCAGAATGTGATTGGTATGATTCCAACAAAGACCCAAATCAATAAATTTTTATGAATCTATATACTATGCATATCCTGTATCTTACAATGTTTAGAAACCATAAGAGAAGAAATGAAGAATTATCATTGTGGAAAATGCATGAGAAATTTAAATTACCAGGATATCTTGCGTGACCTTTGTTTTAAGGCAGAAGCAGAGGTAGCAAAGTCTCTGGTTTTATTGCTGTACGGCTAGGGAGGAAAATATAAGCGGTCTCTTAATCACCTTCTTAGTATTGGGCATTTAGTGAACTAAAACCAAATCCCAAACTTCAAATCTATTCAAAAATAGTCATTTTAAGAAATATAAATGTTATAATTGCATACGTATAACTATATAATATTGCTTGTCATATTGAGAAGAGGAGAGAAGAGGAAGGGAGAGAGAAAAACATACAACTCAAAATCTTATTATAAAAATAATGTTGAAAATTGTCTTTACCTGCAATTGGAAAAATGCTATTTACATAAATAAAGAAATATGAATGTTAGATAATGCTTTTAAAGAAAACATTGAGTTTGAGAACTTTAATATTCTTTTGGCATATTTTTATAGAAAGAAAACCACTGAAATTTCTTCTCAACTATCACTTTTAAAGTAAAGCATTTTTAAATTGCCAAATGAATCAAAGTAAACTACTTTATTTTTAAATCCTTCATTTAAAAAAAAACACACTTCACTAAAGCACCTTTCTATTGCCTTAGTATAGTGGAATGGTGTACCAGATTCTCAAAGATTATACCAAAAGAACTCAGGCTCTGGCAGGTACTGGAAAGGCATGAAATGATCATAGCTTTAGAACCTCAGAGACTTTCTTATTTTACAGATGAGGTAACTGAGGCCTAGAGAGAGAGAATAACTTGCAGAGTCCACAAAGGTAGTGTCAGAGGCAGCATTGAATTCAAGTTTGTCCTGCTTCCGCAACTGGCCCCTTATCTGCAATGCCAGGCAGTCTCTCTGTTTATAAAGGAATTTAACATTAAGAAATTTTACATTTAAATTTGGCATTAAAAAAATTTACTCTTAAATTTACAAAGTGATAACTGAACTAGGACCATTTAAGGTAAGTAATTTAAAATGCACACCTACCCACTGCCAATTTAAAAGCAAGAAGAAGAAGTTATAGGTGAATATTAGGGGGAAAGAGGCACAGGGGTAGGGAACCTGCAGCTGTGAAGTCACGTGTGGCCCTCTAGGTCGTAGGTCTTCCAATGAGGCCCTTTGACTGAAACCAAACTTCATAGAACAAATTCTTCTATTGTGTGAAGTTTGGATTCAGTCAAAAGGCCACACTTGAGGAGCTAGAGGGTATCATGTGGCCTTCAGGCTGCAGGTTCCCCACCCCTGGGAGGTTCCAGGGCAGAGCTAGCTACCCAGTGAATCAATTGAGCATAAGATGGCTGCAAGGAGTACAAGGAGGACACTTTGACGTCACTTACTACAACATACCTTGTAAGAGTTTGAGTAAAAAAGATTCAGATCTTTAAATCACTTTTAAAAATGAAATAAAGTCTTAAGAGAAAAAGCAATCACATTTAGGAACATAGAACAAGAAAAGACCCTTGATAACATTCTAGCCAGGTGGTTTCCGTTTTATAAAACCCAAAGAGTTCAAAATGCTACTCTAAGGGCTTCACATTAAAAATTCTTCAAAGGTGCCTTAAGCAGCAAATAATTGCAGAATAGTGGGAATTGTATGTAAATTACCCTGGGGGTTTGTAGCACTCCTTGTTGTTGTTAAGAAGGGTTTCTGAGGAAAAATATTGTTTTAAAGGATTGAATGATATAGCATGGATACTGATATGTCAGGTATAATATTTGTAAAGCACTTAGCTCAGTACCGGGAACATAGTAGGTGCTTAATAAATGCTACTTTCCTTCCTTCTTTCCTACTTTGTACTATACAGATTTCAGGTTTTTTACTTTCTTCTTGCTATGCTGTTTGATGTAGTGTAATAATATGAGTAGGGTTTGTGTAACATTTTGCTTCTCTTCCAGCTGGGTGGGAAGAGCTGCTTCCAAAAGAGGCATAGTACTTCCCTTTCTTTCACCCCCAGTCGCCATCCCTGAACTTACCTGAAGTTGTAAGGACTACCAACAGGGATTCCATCCTTTGCAGGGTTTAGATGAGCTGGGAGGGATCAACTCCACTCTGTTTAGTGGGATGGCTGACCATAAGACTTTACCGTCTGCCCTGCCCTATAGTCTGTCACAGACTCTGGACCTACTTATATAATCTAAATATCTCTAGACCTTTCCCCAATTGATGGACATCCCCTCAGTTTCCAATTCTTTGCCACCACTAAAAGACCTGCAGTCCTTTTCCTGTTGTTTTTTATCTCTTTGGGATATAGACCTAGTAGTGATATTGTTTGGTCAAAGTATATACATGGTTTTATAGCTCTTTGGGCATAGTTCCAGATTGCTTTCCAGAATGGTTGAATCAGTAGTCAACTTCATCAGAAGTACTTTAGTGTTTTAATTTTCACACATCCCCTCCAACATTAGTCATTTTCCTTTACTATCATATTAGCCAATCTGACAGGTGTAAAGTAGTAGCTCACCAATTCGTATTTCTCTCACCAACAGTGATTTAGAACTTTTTTTTGATATAATGAGAAATAGCTTTGACGCTTTGTCTGAAAACTGCTTGTTCATATCCTTTGACAATTTATCAGTTGAGAAATGACTCTTATTTCTATAAATTTGACTCTGTTTTCTATATATTTGAGAAATGAAGTCTTTATCAAAGAAACTTACTATACAAAATATTTTCCCCACAATAATGATTAGCAACTATGCATTTCTCTCCATCCCATTTTCCCTTGGTGTATCCTACTCTCTCTCTCCTTTTACCCCGTCCATTCTCTAGAGTTGCTTCTGATTTTTACCTCCACCAAACTGCTCTCCCTTTTGTCAGCTCCTCCCCCTCATCTCCTTCTATTCCTACTTTCCTATATGGCAGGATAGATTTCCATCCCCATCTGAGTGTGTATATTATTCCCTCTTTGAGCCAATTCCAATGAGAGTAAGGTGAATGTACTCCCTTCCTCACTTCCCCCACCATTGTAAAAATCTCTTGCAGGCCTCTTTTATGTCAAATAATTTATCTCATTCCACCTTTCCCTTTCTTCTTCTCCCAGTGCATTCTTCTTCTCATCTTTTAATTTTATTTTTTTAGATAATCATACCATCACATTCAAGTCACACCTCTGCTTTCTATCTACATATACTCCTTCTAACTGCCCTACTAATGAGAGAATTTTTAGGAGTTATAAATATCATTTTCCAATGTAGGAATATAAACAGTTTAACCTTATCAAATCCCTTGTGATTTCTCTTTCCTGTTTACCTTATAATACCTTAACTTTACAATATGTCTTTTGCATCTTATATTTGAAAGTCAAATTTTCTATTCAGTTCTAGTCTTTTCATCAGGAATGCTTGAAACTCCTCTGTTTCATTAAATATCCATTTCCTCCCCTGAAGGATTATACCCAGTTTTGCTGAGTAGGTGATTCTTGGTTGTAATCCTAGGTCCTTTGCCTTCTTGAGTATCCATATTCCAAGCCCCTCTGGTCCTTTAATGTAGGGGCTACTAAATTTTGTGTCATCCTGACTGTGGTTCTATGACGTTTAAATTGTTTCCTTCTGGCTGCTTGTAATATTTTCTCCTTGATCTGGGAGGTCTGGAATTTGATTGTAGTATTGCTGTGAGTTTTCATTTTGGGGATCTCTTTCAGGAGGTGATTGGTGAATTCTATCAATTTCTATTTTACCCTCTGGTTCTAGAACATCAGAACAGTTTTCCTTGATAATTTCTTGAAAGATGATGCCTAGGTTCTTTTTTTTGATCATGACTTTCAGGTAGTCCAATAATTCTTAAATTATCTCTCCTGGATCTATTTTCCAGATCAGTTGTTTTTCCAATGACATATTGCACACTATCTTCTATTTATTTTA